GCCCCATATCATGCCCATTGAGACCCATGCAGGCCCATCTCAGGTCCATTTGAGGTCCAGTCAAAGGCCCATTCAGGCCCATTTTGATGCCCGTCTCATGCCCATTTTAAGGCCCCTCTGGGCCATGTGAGGCCCGTATAAAGCCCATTTTAAGACACGTATTGGACCCATTCTAAGGCCCATCTCATGCTCATTTCAACAGCGTATTTTAAGGCCCATCTCGGACCCATTTTAACGCCCATTCAAAGGCCTATATAAGGCCCACCTGATGCCCATCTCGTTATATCAACAGCTATTACCAAAATTGCTTTCGTATATACGGACCAACCATTCTAAGCTAGACTAACATCATATAACGCACATGTTATTGCAAATATCAAATATCAAATATCATATGGTATTAGCATACAAAGGTTGGACATCTATTTTCCTACCTTCATCTTTTTCAGGGCATTGAGCAGTGTCAATATGCTTGGATTTTGCATGCAAAAGCATTTCAAGATTGTTCTAATGTAATGTCAATTTTTTAACTCCAATTAATTTTCAACAAGATATCATATACGTATAATTAAAGCATAATTATATACATATACCAGAACTCCTTTTCTTATTCCAACATATGATTTCCAGTGCCCCCCTCTAAAGATATCGAAACTAATAATTATAGACACAACCCGAGCAGATTAAGAAACCTAATGAGCTAGATAAACTTATTTACCTGAACGCAAAAACTTTGGTCTACAAGTTTCAGCCATGGAGAATAACTCAGAGTGAGAAAGAAAAAAAGAAACCTACAACAAAATACTGAACATGCAAAGAGATTAGGGGCTTTCGAATCACAGAGCAAATTGGGGAGCCTCACCTCACCTAAATAGTGCACATGCTGCACCATACTCATATAACCCATCAGGTATAATAACATCATGTCAAATAGCATAAAATACTATTGGTGTGAATTCATGATGCAGAAGATGTAAATTTCTAAGCACTAAAATACGGAAGCAAAATAACATATACCTTAAACAACAATGCGATGAAGTTCTTCCGTAAAAGCTCTATGCGGATAGTCATATTAATATCTGTTTTCGGAATATAATTTTAAAACCCCATACTACGCAGCTCTGCTAAAACAGAAAGCAAGTAAAATATTGATTCAAGTGACTAAGTGACTTTCACTGTCTAAATCAAACAAGAAAACAAAACCAAAAGATGGCAGGGCCTTTGATATTTGATGCTTCTAAGACATCCTCTGTGCAGCCTCCTTAGCAAGAAGTCTTTCTCTGGCCTTTGTCTTGGCCTGTGATTTGGAACCCATAATTCCACCACCCCACTTCTTTCTATACTCATCGTACTTGTCATTGAAGTTTGCCTGAAAAAGACCAAGCTTCTTTTCAGTTAGACATCATACAACTCTAAATATTAAGTGTCTATAAATTAAAATATATAGGACCTCCACTTTACCTTGATGGCCTCTAAGATTTTACTGAATTCCAGCTTATCCTCATTCTTGACTGTTGTCAAACACAAAACGGATGCAGTCTTCTTGTGGACAATCTGCAAGAACATCACCGTTTTGATATTTTTTGCTGCTCACCTAGCAAGAATATTAACAGGAAAACAAGAAATATTACCGCTCCCAAACGTGCTTTTCCCTTCACAATGCAGTAAGGAATTTCCATTTTCCTACAAAGAGCAGGCAACCATACAACCAACTCAATGGGATCCACATCATGAGCAATAACCACCAGCTGGGCCTTGTTCTGCAGAGAGACATTCAGGAGATTTTTCAGAGTAGAATATAAAGGGATATTCTATATTCTTTTTTGAGAAAAGGGAAATGCTATATTCTATAACAATGAAGTTAAGCAACCTGCTCAATTAGGTAAGTCACATGATTCAGTCCATATTTCACAACAATCGGTTTCTTAGCCTCAACAGTCTTCCCTTCAGCCTCAGCCTGGGCCCTCTTCAGAAGCCTTTCCTTCTTAGCTGCCTTGTCCTCAGGCCTGTACTTGAGAAGCAACTTGAACAGGCTTGTGGCTGCAGTTGTAGATCGTGTAAATTTGTTGATAAAAATACAAAAACCATCTTCGATTAGAAAAGAATTCGTTTGTATAAACAAATACACAAATGGAGGTAAAAATATCCATTTTTATGATGGTGAAAATGTGTTCAAGTATGAGAGAAGCTACCATCAAGTGAACAGTGAGTGCATTCTTCTAGTTTTCTCCATTTGATGTTCAACAAGTAGTACCTTCTATCTATCTACCGCCATAACAATATAGAAAGATACTTTTTATTCTATCATATTTATATGATGGTGAAAAGGTTGTGATGGTATAATCTAGTCTAAAGCCAAATAAAACTAATAACCAGAGCTACATCAAATGAATAATCAATTGTTCCTCCAATTTTCGGTTTACACCAAATACACTCTCTAGCTGTGGTGAAAAAAAAAAGGCAAAGCAAGCTATTTCTCATTCGAAACCCCAAGCAGCCACATGAAAGTTTACTTACCGAGATTTTTGTCCAGAGTCTTAGTGAATTGGTTTAATGCCGGTGGAACCTTCAACCTTTGCTTAAGAATCCTTTTCTGCCGTTGGATGCGGATTTGTTTAGGCCATTTAACAAATCTGTGCAAGTCCTTCTTTGGAGGCAGAGCCCCTCCAATACCAAACTGTTTAGGTCTCTTTTCAAACAGAGGATTGACGGCCTTCTCCTACATACAAGAAAATAGACAGAAAGGAAAGTCAGAGCTAATAAGCAGATTACTCCGAATGAAATTTCGGACATGTCAAGACAAGTATTAAAAAAGTACCACTTTCTTCTTGGGTGCTGCAGCCACTTTTCCTCCTCTTTTCGGAGCCTGCATCGCAGATATACATAAACGAATAGAGCAAAAATGAATAGATCCTACGATAAAAATTCTAGAACACAATGTTTAGAGCCTTGAGACAGTCATGCAAACAATGAAATTCCAACACAGCATACAGATAGTAGTACTGACAAATAATAGTACTTAATAAATCTTGTTAAGCGGAAATCCAACCAGAGATGAAATACCAAAAAATTGCACCGTTTCGTATATTAAATATTACAGGCCACTATCTTTTCAAAGTTTCTGAGCATTATGCGATATAAGATTCGGATTTCGACAATAACTCAACACTCTTCCTCGGTGCACGATCCTATAATCAACTAAAACATATTTGCGAAAGCATTGTGTATTACAATCGAAATTAGAGGAACACGCATACCATTTCTTCGCTGCGCCTCTGCTTCTCGCTAGGGCGTGGGGGAGCTCTCCAGTAAGCGGCGTAGGGAAGGAGAAAAATAGGTTTTCACTCTTTTATACGGGGTTTTAGGGCTTTGTTTCTTCCGGGTCGGGTTGGCCCATTTTCACTATTTAAGACATTGTCCCTTCTAATCTTTTTTTTTTTTTAGAAAATCAATTTAAAAATAAACAAAGCTTTTATTAAATAATATAATCTTATAGTAATAATATGTAGACGTTTAAATTTTATGAAACAATAATAAATTAAAAAATATATATTTTAATTAAATAAATTTTTTAACCAAAATGAACTTTAAAACACTAAATAAATTTATTTTAATATTTATTAATTATTAAATCATAATTACGACGAAAAAAAATTAATTATTAAGTAAGAATAATTAAAAATAAAAAATAAAAACGACTAAAACGATTAATAATTAATTGAATAATAAAATAAGAAATAATAAAATAAGTCGTAGAATAATAATAATAATAATAATAATAAATTAATTCATACTATAAAAAAAATAATTTTTTTGTATAAAAATAAAACCTAACCTAAAAAAATAAATATTTATTATATGTGTAATAGTACTTATAATGTTATTTTAGTAAGTTTAAAGTTATTATTGGAATTTGATGGCAGCCATATATATATATATACAAACTTATAAGTTTGTGATATACTCTAAATACAATGAATACGAGTTGCTATAAAATAATTTAAAATAAAATTTCATAACATTTAGATATAAAAAGGTAAAGGAACAATAGATTCCTAACTATGTTTCTTAAATTTTGTGGCCATGTTCTACATGGCAAACTATTTTATTTGTAACATATATTTCATACTACATCGAAATAACATAATTTAATTTAAAATTAAGAAAATTATGAATTTTTGAATTTGAACTTGTAGATTTCTAATCTCATTTTTTAATTTTGATGATTAAAATTTAACTAACTAAAAATTTACGTTTCATAATTTTTATTTGTATTATTAAAGTTCCGTGATTTTGATAAACATTAAAGAAGTTATAACTTTTTTTAAAAAATTAATTATATACTATCAAACCCATAAAATTCATCGTAATGCTTAAGTTCTTGTTATTAATGATAACGATACAAATAGAATCCGGGGTATAAAAATATAAGAAGGCATACCCTTTTTTAATAATAGGCTAATAATTATTGAAATTGTGTATTAAAATATGTTCAAATAGATAGAATTCTATACAATATATAGAACGGAAAATTTAGAATAGGTAGCGGGAATCGAACCCGCATCATTAACTTGAAGGTGGAACAGTTTCTATGAAACTGGAATCGCTAGTAATCGCCGGTCATCCATAGCTCGGAGGCGTCACAGTTTCGGCTGCAACTCGCCAGCATGAAGCCGAAATCGCCAGTAATCATAATGCGGTGAATTCATTCTCGAGTTTTGTACACACCGTCCGTCACAATATTGGGAGCTGGCCATGCCCGAAGTTTTGAAGTTTTGCAATTGTAGACTCCTCTCAATCCGCCCGAAGTTTTTAATTGACTATTTCATATAAATTACAGATTTATGTTTCTAATTTATGGATATGCAATTCAGTTCGAATTTGATCTGAGATAAGAGAATTGTATTTTTGAACTTTATTTGTGCTTTATGAAACAATGTGAATGATGATTTTAGTGGATTACAGTAGGCTGCTAAATGAGTTTTATTATAAGTGAAAATTGGATAAATATGAATTTGTGATCATATACGAAATAAATGGATTGTATAACAGAGTTATATTTTTCGGGAGTAATTGATTTTATACTAAAATTTGAAAATTAAAGCACTATAAATGAAATCCATTGCCAATCCTAAAAATGAAAACCATATCATCTGGTACCAAATTTTTGGAATTATCCAACGAAAAATGCCGAATCAAGAAATCGAAAAAACGAAAATCATGTTTTCTAAATCGAGAATCAAAATTTAAATCACAGTTTGAATCAACTCGTTAATTAGCAAGTAGTATAATCAGACATAGCTTTCTAGGCTGCAATTTCCATCAAACGAAGTCAGAGCCCAGTGCATATTCATCATCTTCACTACGGGGACCAAAAAGATTTTTCAAAAATGGAGATTAATGCAGGGACCTCAGAGGAAAAACTCATGGCATTCGACAAATCAGTTCGATGAGATTTCCGTATGAAAAACTTAAAAAAAAAAAAATAACGATGATTATTTAAAAAGAAAACTGCGAGAATCAAAATGAGAAGAAAATTCAATTTATCGAGTCGATAGAAGATGAAAGAAGATTTCGCAGAAGCTTATTCACTGCGCCTGGTAAAAAGTAGATCGAAGGCGAAGTGACTCAACTTCCTGCAAAACTTATCTGCCTCTTTTTTCAAGCTAATCATCATGGAAAACCCTTGAAGCTATGAGGCGTAGATCCAGGGATCCAATCAAGAGGCACCTTCAACAATCGTAACAATGAAAATACATAAACACATGCGAACAGAGAGCAAAGAAGAAGAGAAACCGCAGAGCAGAGTTTTGTTTCTAGGCGTAATGCACGAGTTTGTGTGCGCACGTATATATACGCCCGATCGCGAATTAAGGAATTAGGGTTTCTGAAGATGTAATTACCGAAAAGCCCTCGATTTGGTATATTATTACGAGTAAAACCATTATGTTCAATTCAGCCCATTCAGATTTAGCCTGCAAACAATTTTCTCTTTCCTAGTCTTAAGCCCACTTCACACTAATAAAAACACGATTTCATACCCGTTCCGGTTGTAGAACGGGTATCGAGTTCATATTTTTATTAACGGAGCCGGTATGACAATTGATAAAAATGAATTCATACGCGTTACAGTTCAATTATAGAGCGGGTACGAGTTCGTATTTTTATTAACATATTGGGTACGGCAATTGGCGTATCCCTCCGTTATCTGCCCCCGTTCTCGTATCTAATCTCGAGACACAAAATCTAGTTAAGAAATAGTGTGACTACTAAATAGCAAAACAAAAAAAAGACAGGCAAAATGAAAAACAAGCTAATCAACTTGATTGTATTTTACCAAAAAAGAAAGTGAAAAAGACTTGGGAGGAATTTCAAGCCAAATTGGGGACTAGAAAATATTCGTAGGTCAGCGAAGTGGGTGCATAAGTATAATTTCCACTTGTTTGGGGACCAGAAAATAAAATCAGAAACTTTGATATGACACGTGTTATATTGAATGGTTATCAATTAATCAAGTGAAATCTTCTTAACCAATAACTAGGTATGTGTCGCGGAATATTTCATATGCTCCTATATATATATATATCGAAATATTATTTTAGTACAAAAAAATTATCCGAGAGTATAAATAAAATAATTAAAAATTGTATAATCAAATTATTTGAAATATGATTAGTGAAATACTATTTGATAATTTGTACATATTATAAACTTGGTGTATAATTTATATTTAAAAAAAATTATTTAAAGATTTTTATATTAACATAACGTTTACAATTACTTAATTAATAAATTATATTATAAAAGGTTATTTTTCATAAGTAATATATAATATAAGATTTTTATTTTTCTTATTGTATTAATTTTATTAAATTAAATATTATTTAATAATTTACTAATTATTACTTAATTAAATCAATTATTACGTTACGTTATTTATAATTTATTGTAAATTTGAATCGAGTAATGTTTTAGGATGTATACTTATTTGAAAAATAATTTGAATAAAAAATCTCGATATGTATTAATAATAATACCCATATTAAATTATATAAATTTATTACATAATTTAGTGCCGTAAATGTACAACACTTACCCGATATATATAAGTACCTCGTTAAGTCCCAAAATATTGGAGCTGAGTAACATAACACAAAATTCTAATAGAGTTTTTTTTTAAAGTAGTCATATGCTACGCGTAAAGTTCTTCGATCTCAAGGTATTTTTTTTATTTATATTTTTTTGATAAATTTTATCTGATTAAAAAATATATATTTATATATAAAATAACATTTTGTTTCATTATTTTTTTAATATTGTTCTAGAACTTTCTTGGGTAGTAACCTGTACCGATTTTAAAGGTCATGATATAATATGAATTATGAAGCTTAGCTTAATTTTGACTTATTTGAAAAAAAAAACAATATAATATGACGGGTATATATATCCATTTCCACAATTTATTAAAAGTAGATTGACATAATTTTTTTATTAAATTATTTAAAATTATGGTTATTATATAATTATATAAATTTATTTAACGTGATAATAATTTATTTATTTATAATAAATTTTTTGGATGCAAAATTAAATTTTAAAAAATTAAGTTCATTTTGTCAACCTTCTTTGAAAGTTCTTTTTCAGAAAATAAATAAATAAAAAAATAAAATATTACTCGAAAAATTGGGGAGGGAGGCAGACCCAGCGAACGGCAGATGGACTCATGACGTCACCCAATACGCAATTTAAACAAATTCCACGTGGTCAACATTACGTACCTACCAAGCCACCTGACTCTCTCCCCCCTTATATAAATGCCCTCCTCGCGCTTCCACCGTCTCTCAAAATTTTGAATAACCCGCATAACACGAAAGCCGACGGCGCGCCAGAATGTGTCCGTCTGACAGAATCCTCCGGCCCGCAGCGGCTGCCAGGTCCGATTTCAGATCCGCCTTCGACGTGATCGACGCCGATCACGATGGGAAGATCAGCGGCGATGATCTCCGTATGTTCTACGTCGGCTATTACGGTGGAGGATCGGGAGACGTTGATGACTTGATCGGGACGATGATGAAGGTTGCTGACTCTAATAAGAACGGATTCGTCGAGTACGATGAGTTCGAGAGCGTTTTGAAGGGGCATAATGGAATTAGTTGCGGTGGCGGTGGCGGATTAATGGAGGATATGTTCAAGGTGATGGATAAGGATGGCGATGGCCGGTTGAGCCACCAGGATTTGAAGAGTTACATGGAGTTGGCTGGTTTTCCGGCTAGTGATGAAGATATCTCGGCTATGATCAGATTGGCTGGCGGTGATGACAAAGAAGGAGTCTCCCTTGACGGCCTGCTCAAGGTTTTTGCCTGTTGATTTCTGGACACTAGTTTTGTTTCTTATTTTTGTTTAAGAGAAGTATGGTTGATGGATAATTTTGTATGTTTGAGATATAATCAGGTTTCCTCATTAAAAAAATTGCAAGAAAATAAATATGTGAAACCTTAAATCATGAGATACTTGTATTTAGTAGTTGTCTATATCTTATTCATGTATATGATTATATATATATATATATATAAAGATTAGGCTGTATTTGATATATAAAATTAGAATCAAGTTACAAATATATATGTAAACGAAAATATCTTCACATAATAAATATTTCCTGAACTAGATGCATCTATCATTTCCACTATACGATCATGCATGTATATACATATTTACATTATATGCTGTTATGTTTATAATCGTATGAACTGGAATGCAGGTTCTTTCATTTTCATCTTTACTCTGAGTTGTCAATTCTGGAGGAGAAAAAGTAGAGGCTACTTCTCTTCGTTCCAAAATGAAATTCTGTCTTGGGAGTTGCTGGACGGTAGCTCTCCGCGTGCCTCAATAAATTATTCTCTTCAAATCAGAATCGAAGCGAGGATGCTCTCAACCTCTTGAGCTCCGTAACACGACGGCGTTTTGGTTTGTTTTGTTTTTTTCTTTTCTGTCTTTTTTGAATAGGAAAATTCGACAACCGACTTTAATGTACATGTGGTGCCATATATAATGACCTGGATATGTATAGGCCAAGCGATTGAAGGTTAGTTCGTGAAGAATCGCTTGTTTTTTTTCACTCGTCGCAAACATTTTCACTTTTTTAAGTAATTATTACTCAAGGTGAGTTCTTTAATAAGTAGAAATGCAAACTATTATTGTACTATAATTGTAAGCAATTATAAAAAGCATACTCTAGATAAGGTTATATTAGTCTACTTCAAATTTTATATTAGTCTCATCAAATCTAATCATCAACTTTATCTTCCACAGAAATTCCAAAGTTGAATAGATAGAAACAGAATATCCATGGATAGGCTAGGTAATAAATCTATTCATACTTGAAAAGATAAACCCCACCAACAATTAGAAGGGGGCATGTTGGCCAGAGGTTCATAATGAGTTTAGTTTCTGTACAAAGTCATTGGAACCAGAGAGTGCTAGTGATATTCCTAGATATATTCAATTTCAAGTCCAGAGAAATACCTTAAAACTTAGTTGATCTAGCTGGGTATTTCTCAGACCAAATCAATTTTCCCGGTTTCTACCGCCCTCTTTATGATCTTGTATCGTATGAAGTACAGATCCCCGCGGTCCATCTCCACCATCTCCGGGTTTTCTCCACTGTAAATGCGAAGGTTGGTTAACGAAAAACATGAGACAGCAAAGACTATTTTTTCCCACAATAAAATCACCAAGTGAAAAACAAGCACAAATTGTATATAATCTCACTCTTCATAAAGGTTGAGCGACAAAAAGTTCTTGCTTTTGCAGACAACAAACGTTTCCAGTTCCGGCTGTGGCACTGCAGGTCAAGTGAAAGCAATCAATAGCAGTATTGAAAGATTCAAGCACACAGGTCAAAAGCAGTATTGAAGATTCACAAGTTGACTTGTAACAGATAATAAATTGCTTCATGAAGTTTATCATTGACGGAAAAAGGGCCAGACTCTAAAAAATTAATTGCCGAATCGATCTTAGAGATACTTGCCCCTGACTTATAAAATGTTTATTGATTATCAATAAGATATGCAGAAGTTTAAACATCTGATTACTAGTTATTTTAATTGGTGTATATTACACATAATACAATAAAATTAATTTTCAAACATAATGTTGGAGGTTATTAACTACGTTTATTGGGATACAACCAGAAGATCAGCAAAGATTCCAGTCAAGAATCCTAAGTATTTCTGATTCTGGTATCGTTGAAGCCAACCAGAATCAATTTATCATCTGTTTTTTAATTTATTTCGAGTATTATTTTATCTTTTGATTTGTTGAGATTATTTGGTTGTTACTAGCCGTTGTGCTCCCTGAATAGCAGAGAGAAATTGTTGTTTCCCTTCTTATTTAAAGCCCCCTTATATTATGGATGAGACAAGTATTAATTAACAAAAAAATTGTGGTTTTTCTATCCCAAAAATAGAAACTTTTGTTGCAATCTTTCTTGCGTTTTCTGGACACCTATCATTTTAGTATCAGACCCATGTTTCACAAGGAAAGTATTGAGAATTTGGAAGAAAGTATCAAAGGACTGCAGAACAGCTTCAACCGGATGGAACTTGGAGTCGCCGATAAACTTCACCAAATGGAGGATACTCTCAAACGATTAACAGAGACTCTGCTAATCAGACGTGAAGGCTCCAGCTACAATACTCCAAACCGAAATGGAGAAACACGACCAAACCGCGACGAAGGAGCTGAGCGAAATGACGGTGGCCGACAGCCATTATTTCCTATCTTTTCCGGAGATGACACGACCGAATGGCTCAACCGTGTCGCACAATTTTTTGAATATCAAGGAACTTTCAAAGAGCAGAAAATCCTACTATCTTCTTTCCACTTGGAGAGCGAAGCCAACCAGTGATGTCAATGACTTCGCCGGACTTATCAAGAAGAAAGAAGAATGGTGACATGGACAGGATTTGAAGAAGAGGTTTGGGCTCACTTTGGGTCACCGAATGTGAAGATTTCGACGAAGCCCTATCCAAAGTGATGCAGATCGGGCCCTTACGAGATTATCAAAAACAATTTGAGAGGTTGGGCAACAAAGTGAGAGGCTGGACTCAAAAGGCCCTAGTGGGTACATTTAATGGCAGACTGAAGCCTGAAATTGCTGAAGGTATTCAGATGTTCAAGCCCAAATCTTTGAAGGAGGCCATCAACTTGGCCCGTATGAAGGAGGAACAAGTGGGTTGATAGAGCAGGTTCAATCGGGTCAGACATAACCCGATCAACCCACCCCCAACCCTAGCTGCAGATTCCACCCCAAAGTGCCTCTTGTGGGAAGAGATACAGCACCATCAAATGCAGAGCCTCTTCTTCAACTGCGACGAGAAATTTACCGCAGGCCACCACTGTTGTTGAACTCAAGTTCTGCTCTTGGAAAGGACCGAAGAAGAAGAAGAACCAAAAGAAGAGGAGCCCGAAATTTTCCTTCATGCTTTCACTGGTTGGTCCACCACAAAAACAACGCATGTTGATGCAACCATCCACAATCAACGCATCGTTATCCTCATCAACAGCGGCTCGACTCACAACTTCATCAGTTAGCGAGTCGCGAGCTTGCTGAAATTACCAGTACTCCCAACTAAAGCCTTCTCGATCAAAATTGCAAATGGTAGTCCGATGAAATGTCACAGATGATTTGAGAATGTGTCCGTTAACATCCAAGGTATCATCTTCCATTTGACTCTTTTTGCTTTACCATTAACTGGTCTTGATCTTATTCTTAGAGTCTAGTGACTGGAAGCATCAAGTGTTGTTATGTGGGATTGGGGTCAGATGACCATGGAATTCCAATGGGGTTGTCGACTGCGACAGTTACGGGGCATTGATGCTCCACATCTCCAAATTGCTTCAGCTAAAAAAGTCGCCAAAAGTACGCTTCGACACTCCTCTCTGTTTGCGGTGTATCTGCAGACAGAAAACAGCACCTGTCTGATCCACCTTCATTCAGATATGCAAGCTCTTTTAGATCAGCACCAAGATCTTTTCAAAGATCCACAATCAATTCCTCTCTGCCGAGACGTTGATCACCGCATCAGTTTGAAGGAAGGGGTTGAACCCGTCAATGTCAGGCCATACAGGTATACCTATTTATAGAAAAGTAAAATTGAAAAACAGGTGAATACAATGCTTGATTCAAAACTGATTTGCCAAGCACTAATTCGTTCTCCTTGCCGGTGCTATTGGTGCGCAAAAAAGATGGAACTTGGAGGTTTTGTAAAGACTACCAGGCCCTCAATTCAGTCACCATCTAAGACAGGTTTCCCATCCTTACAGTTGATGACATGCTAGATGAACTCCATGGAACTGCTTTCTTTACTAAACTCGATCTCACCGCGGGTTACCACCAAGTAAGAGTACATCCATCGAATATTCACAAGACGGCCTTTCGCACTCATAATAGTCATTATGAATATCTCGTTTGCCATTTGGACTTTGCAATGCCCTTTCCATCTTTCAAGCAGTCATGAACAACATCTTCCGCCAACATCTCCGTAAGTTTGTTCTAGTTTTTTTAATGACATCTTAATATACAGTCCTAGCTGGGAATTGCATCTTGAGCAGGTTAAGCAGGTTTTTGACATCCTCCAGCAACATCAATTTTTCATCAAGCTAAAAAAATGTCTTTGGGTAAAAGAAACTTAAATACTTAGGGCACATAGTTACATCGCAAAGGGTCAAAGTGGATCAAACCAAAATTAAGGTCATATTAGATTGACCTCGCTCAAACAACATCACTGAACTGAGATGATTTTTGGGTTTGACAGGCTATTACCAAAAGTTTGTTCGGCAGTACGGAATTCTTGCTCGGCCCTTGACTAATCTCTTAAAAAAAGGACAATTTGGGTAGTCCAAGGAAGCAGAATCAACTTTTCAAAACCTTAAGGTTTCTATGACCACAACTCCTATCTTGGCACTCTCGAATTTTGAAGAGTCATTTATCATAAAAACTGATGCTTCTGGCTGCGACATTGGGGCCGTCCTCACTCAGCATGGGCAGCCTATAGCTTACATGATCGGACATTAGGCGTTGACAAGCAGTCATGGTCGACATACACCAAAGAGATGCTTGCTATTGTTATTGCCATAAAATTATGGAGTCCGCATTTGATGGGCAGAAAGTTCTATATGCACACGGATCAGAAAAGTTTGAAACATTTGCTGGACTAATGAATTATAACCCCAGAACAGCAAAAGTGGCTCTCTAAGTTATTTAGCTATAAATATGAGATCGGGTACAAACCAGGAAAAGAAAACTTGGCCGCCGATGCTCTATCTCCTAGGGAAGATAGCCTCACTCTACACGCTATCTCTATGCCCAAAAATAATTTGTGGAATATTTTCCAAGAAGCTGCAGATCATCCCTATATACAGACAGCCCGCAAGTTAGTCACTGACTCAGCAAGTGGTTCCTATTCACTCAAGAATGGATTGATTTATTTTAAGCATCGAATTGTTGTCCCTCCTAAATCAAAAATCACACAACAATTATTGCAGAAATTCCACTCATCTTTGACAGGTGGCCACTGAGGTTTCCAACGAACTTACAAAAGATTGGCCCAACAATTTTATTGGTCAGCCATGTACCGAGATATCAAAGAATATGTAGCACCATGTGATACCTGCCAACAAGTTAAAGCTGAGACACTCTAACCAGTTGGTCTTCTCCAACCGTTGTCAATCCCTTTCCAAATATGGGATGATATTTCTATGAATTTTATTGAAGGACTGCTTATCTCAAACGGAAAGAATATTGTCTTGGTTGTGGTTGATTGTCTTACCAAGAGTGCGCACTTTATCGCTTTGGCTCACCCTTACACCACTAAGACCGTGGCAGAAAAATTTGTGGACAATGTGATAAAATTACATGGTATACCTCGCTCCATAATTAGTGACAGGGATCCAGTCTTTACTAGCTGTTTCTAGCAAAAGTTTTTTAAGTTGTCTGGCACCCAGCTCCGAATGAGCTCCTACTACCATCCGCAAGCAGATGGACAGTTCGAAGTTGTGAACCACAGTGTGGACCAATATCTACAGTGCTTAAGCCACCAACAACCACGCAAGTGGAGTTCTCTCCTTCCTTGAGCCGAATTTTAGTACAACACAACCTACCACTCCTCTATTAAGATGACTCCTTTTCAGGACTTATATGGGAGACCCCGCCGTCCATTCCCCGTTACCAAGACAGCTCAACCCTTATCAATGAAGTTGACCAACAGCTTTGTAACCAATATGCCCTCCTCAAACAACTTTGAATTAATTTACAAGCAGCCAACAATCACATACAAGCCACCGCCAATGCCCATCGACGTGAAGTCAAATTTCAGGAGGACGATTGGGTCTTTCTCAAGTTCCAACCATATCGGCAACAAACGATTTTCAAGAGAGCCTTCCAAGAGCTTGCATGTCGATACTATGGGCCTTCTCAGATCATCCGTCGTATTGACCTTGTTGCTTACAAGCTTCTACTTCCACAAGGGTCGCGTATCCATCCCATTTTCCACGTCTCCATGTTAAAAAAGCATATTGGTTAAACAATTGCCCCTACTGAAAATCTGCTTGAAATATCTGAAGATGGGAACCTACTGTTGCAACCCCAAACCTTTTTGGAAACCCAATAGATCAAAAAGGGAGCAAAATATGTTGAAGAAAGTCTTGTCCAATGGAAGAATTTGCCCCCAGAAGAAG